CTTTGCGCCTTTCCTGGAGCTCACTTGGTAGCCCAGGCTGGCCTTGAACTCACAGAGATCCGCCTGGCTCTGCCTCCTGAGTGCTGGGATTAAAGGTGCGCGCCACCACCGCCCGGCTTGTTTTTGTTTTTTTGAGACAGGGTTTCTCAGTGCAGATTTTGGTGCCTGTCCTGGATCTTACTCAGTAGACCAGGCTGGCCTCCAGTTCACAGAGATCTGCCTGACTCTGCCTCCCGAGTGCACCCCCCCCCCAGCTGAATAAGGTATTTATTATTAGTGTAGGACATTGTAAATATCATGGAGTACCTAAACATGCATGCCCATTGATTTTTGTTTTGTTTTTTGCTTGTGTTGTTTGAGACAGAGCCTCCCTATATATTCCTGACTGGGCTGGAACTCTATGGACCCAGCTGGCCTCCAGTATTCAGTGATCTTCTGCCTGACAGTGTTGGGAATGTAAGTTATTCCCCACGGTGCAGGGCACTTTTTTTGTTTTTTTGAGCCCGGGTCTGTTTATGTACCTCAGGCTGGCCTGGAACTCAGATCCTCCTGCCTCAGCTCTCCAACATTGGGATTACAGGCCTCTGCCATCATGAGCACTATGATGGAAAAGATCTAAAGCATGAGAGCAGAGGTGTAAATCGTCTCACTGTAGATGTTAACACAGGAATCATTCAGTCCAGGGTGAATCAAAGGCCGGTGGTCACTTTGTGCTTTGGCTGTTTAATAGTGTACGGCACAACGCGTACAGAAATGCTACTGTGGTGACAGCCAGGCTTTCGGTTTGTTTGTTGCTTTGATCCCTGTCCCAACACCTTTGGTTGCCCATCCTACCAACGGAACTGCAGGTCCTGGACCCTGGGCCCTGCGCTCTTTTGTGTAGGTGGGTTCCCTACGGCAGGTGGCCCTTCAGAAGAGTGTAGATGAAGTGGACTCCAGCAGATTTTTCTTTGAAATGGGACGAACGTAAGGACCTGTCATGGAGACAGACTTGCCTTGGCAGTGGCCAGAGAAGACACCAGAGGGGGAAGGAATGGGGCGGGGCTTGGGCTTGAGGCGGAGCTTTTAGGAGGGAAAGGAGGGGTGGGTGGGATCTGGGACGTGGGGGCGGGACCTGGAGGAAGGGAAAAGGACTCTGATGGCTAGGGACGTAGGACAGGACTGAAGTGGGGGAGGGGAGAGGCTGAGTACCGTATGGGACAAGGATCCGGGGTCTGTAGGAACAAGTTTCATCCCTGGCTGCCCAGCGTCCGCCATCTACCTCTTTGGCTCACGACTTCGGTTCCCCAGACCCCTTATGGTTATGGCCTCGATCCCTTCCAGTACCCTAAAGTCGGCGACCTCAGTCCACAGAGCACTAGGGCACGCGTCACTCACCGCATTCTGCAGTACGTCCCCGCAAGGAACTTCCGGCGCCCGGGCGTCCATCTGCACTGGCGTAGCAGTCTGGGGTCCTGGGTCTTGGGTAGACCCAGCGGGTGTCACGCTTTGGGCTGAGCACTGGCAAACCCGGAGAGAGCGAGCGCGGGGGCATGTGCGGACCGGCAGCCGGCCAATCCGGCTTTGCTGCGTGTTCTCATCCTTCAGAGGAGGTGACCTGGGAGGAACTCTGCCGGTGCTTATTTATTCTTGTTACTGTGGCACAGTAAACACGACAGGATGGTGAGCACCCTAGCCACTTCCGAATGCACAGTGCAATGCATTAAGCGCACCTACTCCGCCCCTCCATCTCCAGACCTTCTGGCCTCACACTCAGTACCCATCAAACAGCAAGTGACCCTCCCCTCTTTGCTGGCTTCTGTCTAGGTACAAACTTTCATATGATGTGCCGCCTCTTACTGGGTACCACACAGCTGCCAGTGGCCGATGGCACACCTCACTGAACAACTGAATCTGTTGCTGCAAATCTGTCATTTCTGAAGATCTAAAGATGTCAGCTTCAGAGCTGAATGGCTTCCACTGATGCTCAAGTCTGATTTCACTGTGGGTCTGGAAACAAGATCTCAGGACCCCTCTTCTTTTTCAGGTCTGAGTTGTGATCACCTTGTGGTGACTTCCCAGGGCCACGCTTTTTTATCAGTTGCCTGTGTTGTTTTCACGTTTGCACTCCTTGGGCTGAAGGTCGGAAGGGTGAGCAGATTGTGTCTATTTAGGCCACCTCAATACTCTAGAGCCTAGCGCAGAGATAACACATGGATGCCGGGGTGCTGCGTATGTTTGAATCGAAGGGGGCAGCACAGGGTGGCTGAATGATGGTTCACTGGTTAAGGGCACTTGCAGCTTTTCCCGGGACTGGGGTTTGGTTCCCAGAACACCACGTGGCTGCTCAACGGGTTGTAACTCCAGTTCCAGAAGATCTAGTGCCCTCTCCTGGCCGCCGCAGGCATTGCATGTACATGGTGTGCTTACAGACGTGAAAACAACCCTACACATAAAAGTAAATAAAACTTTGAAACTTCCTTTATTTTTTTTTTTATTTTATTTTATTTTTGGTTTTTCAAGACAGGGTTTCTCTGTGTAGCTTTGCTCCTTTCCTGGAACTCGCTTTGGAGACCAGGCTGGCCTCGAACTCATGGAGATCCGCCTGCCTCTGCCTCCGAACGTGGCCTTACAGGCAAAGGCAGCCAACACCATTGATCACCATCAGCACCCACGATGAGTCCTGCTCCACACCCACGCGGATACCAGGGGGAATGTAGACTCGGGCAGCCCCTTTGGAAAATACAGGGAAACAAGGTTCACCACGTAACTACATTCCACTCCTGGGTGTGTGCAAGACACAGCAGCCCACACCCACACCCACACAGAAACATGCACACCTTTTAGAGCAGGACTCACTCATCACAAGCGTCAAGGAGGAAATAACCTGATGGGCAAGCAGATGAGGTATGTGCACACATGAATACCATTCCACAACCAAAGGAGTGTAATGCTGGTACATACAACATGAATGAACTTCAAAAACAAAGGTCCCCTAGTCAACCACTCCATTATAAGAAACATCAGTAACTGACTGAGAATGTCTCAGAGACAGTGCCTTACTGGTTGCAACAGTGTGAGGAGGGGGAGGGGGAGAAGCTGCCTCATAGGTAAGGGGTTCCTTCTTGAGGGACACATTTCCTGACATTAGATTGCAGTAATGGCTACACAATTTGTGTATATACTAAAAACCATAGGGGTTGCTTATTTGAGTGAATTTCATAGTATGTGAATTACATATCAATGAATGTGTTTACATGGTAAAATTTAAAAATATGGACAGTTTGCCTTTTGGGTCTGTGGTGGTTTGAATAAGAATGGCCCCCATAGGCTCATGTATTTGAACGCTTACCCATCAAAGAGTGGAACTCTTTAAAAGAATTAGAAGGATGAGGAGGTGTGGCCTTATTGGAGGAAGTGTGTCACTGGGATGTGGGCTTTGAGCTTTCAAAAGCCCATGTCAAGCCCAGTTTCCCTCCCTCCCCCCACAACTTCCTCCCAATCCCCTCCCCCTGGACCAGCAGGTCAGGAAGTAGCTCTCAGCTACTTCTCCAGGGCATGTGCGCCACCACGCTCCCACCATGATGATAATGATTAACTCTCTGAAACTGTAAGCAAGCCCCCAATTAAATGCTTCCTTTTTATAAGAGTTGCCTTGGCCACGGTGTCTCTTCACAGCATTAGAACAGCGACTAAGACAATGTCCTTTTAAGTCTTTGTCTAGTTTTCTTTCTCTGAAAGGGACTGAGACAGAAGCTGCCGTGACTAGTACAGACTGAACTCTAAGAGTAATGCGGTCCTCTGAAAGAAAATGGCCCCCAAAGGGCATGGCCCTATTAGGAGGTGTGGCCTTGTTGGGGTGGGTGTGGTCTTGTTGGAAGAAGTGTGTCGCTGTGGAGGCAGGCTTTGAGGTCTCATACATGCTCAAGCCATGTCCAGTGAGACAGACCATTTTCTGTTGCCTTTGGGTCAAGATGTAAGACCCAAAGACTCAGCTCCTCTTCCAGCACCATAGCTGTCTGCATGCTGCCTTGCTTCCTGCCATGATGATAATGGACTAAGCCTCTGAACCGTAAATGAGCCTCCTCAATTAAGTATTTTCCTTTATAAAAGAGGCCGTGGGGCTGGAGAGATGGCTCAGTGGTTAAGAGCACTGGCTGCTCTTCCAGAGGTCCTGAGTTCAATTCCCAGCAACCACACGATGGCTGAAAACCATCTGTAATGAGATCTGGTGCCCTCTTCTGGTGTGCAGACATACATGCAGGCAGAACACTGTGTACATAATAAATAAATAAATCTTTAAAAAAAAAAAAAAAAAAAAAAAAGAGGCCGTGGTTATGGTGTTGCTTTACAGCAAGAGAAACCCTAAGACAAGTAGGGAGGGGTGTGAGCTGGCCCTGCATGGCTCCAGTCAGTCTAAGCAGCGTGAGTCAGCCTGTGTAGCAGCAGCAGCAGCAGCAGCAGCAGCAGCAGCAGCTGACTTCTCTTTGCAGACAGCTGTAAGGAGATCTGGGGACCTAGAGTCTAACGCAGGATGTTCTCAGAAGTGCACTGGAGATTCAAAGCTCAGGACTCACTAGAGCCACTTTAAGGAGGAAAAGGAAATATTTCTGGAGAGATAAGACCAAGGCTTTGTTTGGCAGGGCGGGCTTCACCTGGCTGGCCTGACTTCAGTCTGTCACAGCCCAGAACAAATGGTCTTCCAGTTACCTTAAAGACATGAGGCTGTTTCACAATGGTGTCCTCACTCCCTTGGGCCTTTTGAGTTCATACAATGGTGTTTCTGACATCCCCTGGCAGCATAGCCAGCCTCAGGCAGGGCATTGGTTAACTGGTAGACACCATGGAGCCAGATTCAGTTCAATCCAAGCCGTAACAGAGCCTCGTTATGGCTCAAGCTAATGGATGCACACATCCTCCACACATTTAGCTTTCCACATTGCAGACAACATAAGAATAGCAATCAGCAAGCAGGGCCTGGACCACAGAAGCCTAGGATGATATGCAGACTAGCAGAGGTTATTCCCCACCAGCGAGGTCTCTCAGGAGGCTCCCATGTCTGACCTAGTCTCACTGGATATTTCAGCTCTGTTTCCAGACTAACCCAGAGCAGAGCCAAGTGGCATCTAGATAAAGTATAGACAGTAGGTTGTGAAAGCAAAGACCTCCAGGCCCCTCTAGAGACTTGGAGGTCAGGTAGACAAAAAGCCTGTTCCAGGGGTTCTGTTGGAGAAAACTTGGGCACACCCCTTAGGAAGCCTGACAGGCTCCCCAAGAGAGGAGTATCCACGATCCCTCTCTAATCTGAAAGTGGGACACACAGGAGGCACAAGCAGAGAGAACTATGGGACCATGAAATATTTCAGAGGAACATTCCAGAAGTGGATCCATTGCAGAGAGTGACAATGTCCTTGATGTGGTTGGGATGGAATGGAGACAGTTCTTGGGGTCAAGATCAAGACACCGGGTTAAAGCAATGCATCTTGATGGTGTTGTTTTTGCTCTTTTGGGGGCCCACCTTTCAGTTCCCAAATAAATCACACATGGAAGCTTATACTTAATTATAAATGCCTGGCCTTAGCTTGGCTTGTTTCTAGCCAGCTTTCCTTAACTTAAACTACCCCATCTATCTTTTGCCTTTGGGCTTTTATCTTTCTCTATTTCTGTGTACCTTTCATTCTTTCTTACTCTGTGGTTTGCTGTGTGGCTGTGTGGCTAGCCCCTCATGTCCTCCTCCTTTTCTGGCTACTTCTTCCTTCTACCTCTTCCAGATTTCTCCTTCTATTAATTCTCTCTGCCTGCCAGCCCCACCTATTCTTTCTCCTACCTAGCTATTGGCCATTCAGTTCTTTATTAGACCATCAGGTGTTTTAGACAGGCACAGTACCACAGCTTCACAGAGTTAAACAAATGCAACACAAATGAAAGTAACACACGTTAAAATAATATTCTCCAACATCTCGGTGCAACTCTCAACCTCCTTTCTCCCATCACTGAGGAGCCACATGCAGAGCCCTGCTTGTGAGCACAGAGAGGAGCCTCCTTGTGTTGGGCCAGGACAGAAGCCGGAACCACGCTGCTGGGCCTTACAGGTGGAGAGGAGGCTCTACCAGCCAGCTCCTCACCGCCATTGCATCTCCAGTTCTGCCTCTCCCCACAGAACATGGACCGCTGCGCTTCTCTTTCTCGCCCATCTCTCCACCACATACTTGCTCATCATAGTGGCGCCCACCTAGCATGGTGCTGGTCTGGTCTTTCTGCCTGGCCCCACTCGCCATTAATAAAAATCTTGCTTTTCTACTTGCTTGGTTTAAGACAAATGCAACTGGAAAACTGCACCAGTGGAGAAGGGAGGACATGAGAGGCTGAATTAGAGGCACCCACTACTTACCTGCTCTGTGAGACAGAGCTGAGGATCCTCTGAAAGGGGGCATATCCAGAGGGGTCTCACATTCTTCTGCCGGACAGCCACCCACCCGGTAAGAACACAGAAGAGTGAAACAGCTTCTGCTGTACCATCAACACCGAGTCCTCCCCATACTCCTCTAGAGGCTACCCTGCTGTAACCCCCCCCCCCCCCACACACACACCCCGTCACGGAGATCCTGCGGTTCTCAGGAAAACAGGCTTAAGACTCATGTTCCTATTCACGCAATGGAAGATGCAGACCACTGCACAGAAGAATGTGGAACCAACTCTCAATTAGAAAATGTATTTAATCTGGATAGGTGAGTGCTTCATGGCAAGCCAAGGCCGGGGGAAGCTGGGGGAGGGGTGCCTGCTGGCACATCCAGCTGTTATCTGGCCCTCTGGACCTCAGCAATGAAGGGTTCTGGTTCTAGGGCCTGGTAATAGGCTAGCAGCTGCCTGTGGG